TTTTTTTTTTTTTTTTTAGAAAATACCCATATGTAAATTCATGATCTGCTCCGCCGTCATAATTTCGAGATGAAAATGAGATGCATGAAATTACGCTCAGCGAACAAAACGTCACGAAAAATCACCTGCCGTGCATTGCATTCCTCGAGTAGAGTAAATCCAGTCAGATCAGATTGAAGTTTCTTTTCGTGAGAATCCTACGGCCCCTCCGTTTACCAGTCAAAATCGAGTAACGACACAATTGGTAACTCGCTCATAGTTGTACAAAATATACAACTTGTGTTTCGTATAAATTGAAGTTAATCGTTTCCAACCTAAGCAATCCTTCTAATTGTAAATTAAACAAACCGAATTTCACCTGGCTTCAGGTTCATCCGTATTCCTTGAAAAAAATACATTATTGATCACAAGTCAAACATATATCGCGTGTATCACACAGAGTTAATGGACAAAGTTTCCGAAACGAACGAATCGAACAAATTCGACAGAGCACGAGGAACTTTGATGGATGCGAATTTTCGACTGGCGGGTCCCTCCCCCCCCCCTCACCTCGCGGGGAGAATCCAAAAGTGAGACGTGATTTCCGGCTGACAAGGTGCGCCACCGGTGAACGTAGCGAATTCGTAAGTAGCAGTTCTCTCTCGCCGGTAGATAATAAATCGCTGTCGAATCGCGAGAATTGCCTATTTAAATATTACTGTTCTTCGCGAAAGGGGAAGTTGGACTATTCTTCGTGGCTGACAGCACCATCGTTGCGGTCTTCACACCGCCGAGAACTTGCTAAGAAGATCAACATCGAACACTGATCGAATATTCGACGTGAATAGATGTGACAACGAGATGGCTGCGAATTGCTCAAGACATGAAAGTTCCTCGAGTGTGATTAACATCGGCACGTGGTCGTCGACCACGCACGCGAAACTCCAGCTACCCTTTGACTCGTGCTCGTACTCGTGCGGCTCGTTAACGTGTTCTTTTCTCCTGTGAGTTATCACGAGATACTATCGACTCGGGTCACGGCCGACAGACGCGAGCATTATCTTCATCGGGCAGATTCGACATCGAAGTTCGTTACGCTAGATTGCATGGAATGTCGACGTGGTCTGGCACGGGATTGCCTTTGAAACGGACGGAGAACGAACGGCAAGGGAGGAAAGGAAACAATAAGAAAAAAATGATGTAGGTATCCTAGAAATTACGATACCTATCTCTTTTGTATATTTTTGTACGTGTAAGGGAAAGCTTCTTTAGCTCCGATAGTCGCGTATGCGCAAGAAGAAAAGTTGATCGATCTTTTTGGTATGAAATTGAAGAGTAAATTTTTGTAAACATACAAAAGACATCTGAGTCGTGTTATCATAGGTTCTGGTTTTTTCAATTACTTTGGGTTTTTCTTGCAAATATGTTTGCATCGATGTTTATTATCTTGGTTTATTGGAAAATATATCTAAGCAATGATATAGGATGTTGAAAAGAGAATTTCGTGGAATCAGAAGTTTGAAAATTGCACTACAGAATATTCCAGATAATTTCGAGTCTAATTTGGATAGTATCCAATTGAAATTGGATTCAGTATTTAAGAATGGACTCATACATATGAAATCCTCTCAGATTATTTATTTAGCACATTTTAATAACACGTACGTAAAAGCATGTTTATAACCATAGAAATTTCTTCACTTGGGTTGTAAAATATTCTCTGGATCTTGTTGTGTTCTTTGATATTGATATTTTTCTCTTCTTTATATCGTAGGACTAAATAAATA